TTTAGGAATACAAAACACTTCTCTCTCTCCCACACATTAGTCAGCACCACACCTCACCTTACCGCAGGCGCTCATTACCGGGAAGCATTCGACGTCGCACATCGCCACCGCCGTAAATCACCACCGCCACCACCGCAATACTAGGTTATTTCTCGCTCTGTCTTTCAGTCTCACATTCTCTTTCATTTATTGTATCCCCAAATCGACAAACAATGACGCGATGACGAACAATTCATCGCTGAGCGGCTCTGGTTCTCCCTCAATCTCTCCACTGTAGGGTTTTGACTTTATTGCGATTTGATCTGCTTTGGTTTTATTTTAATTTTAATTTGAGCAGGTGGGTATGACAAAGAATAGAAAGCAGCTAGGGCTTATGATATGGTTGCACTGAAGTACTGGGGAACATCTACCACTACAAACTTCCCTGTATGCTTTTGTGGTGCACTGAAGATTTTAAGAAAAATCAAATAATATTTCTAATGTTTTTTACTGTCACATATTAAAATGAATTAATACATTTGAAATTGCAGATCAGTAATTACGAAAAGGAACTTGAGGAGATGAAACACATGACCAGGCAAGAATTTGTAGCCTCAATTAGAAGGTAACTATGAATCATCTAGTCACTAGCTTTCTTCTTCCAGTAATAAATTTCAGGAAAAGTAGTGGATTTTCTAGGGGTGCATCAATGTATCGTGGTAACATAATATTTTTGTTAGCTTTTGCACTGATAATCTTTACTGTCATACTGATTCACTTTGTATTGGTCAAGCATGGTACTAAAAGGCAGCATGTTTTTATAATCTTTATCGTTTTTCTTTTCTTCTTCTACATAATAGACAATTATTCTACTAGACGAAAATTAGTTTGTTTGTTATTAAGTGCAGGACATCTATGATTTCATTTTCTATAAGAACTTCATTTAGAATTTGCCTCCTTTGAATCAAACCTTACTACAATACATAATATATATAGTTGTTCTTAGACCAAAATATATATGTAGTTGTTCCTCTCACTATTCTGCTTTAAGTTCCCAATTCAGAGATCTCTTAAAACTTAATTTATGTTATGTGTTATATTTTTTTCACTGAATTAGATTCTCTATAAAGTGGTTTGCTATTTAATTGAGAGAAAGATATTTCTTGGGATCCGTTTCTGAGTTTTCTTGACCTGCGTTGACTTACAGTTCAAAATGGTTTTCAATTAAGCTTTTTAACTATTGGATGCTACTATGCTGGAATTCTTTTCACTCACAGGTTAGCTTTGAATGTTTTGTTTAATGTCCCAATTGATGATTTCTATTGATTTTGATTTGTATGGTTGATATGTTCAATTTGATGAAGTGGGTATCAATTTGTTTCATTGAAATTTTTGTATTTTTGTTTGGAAATTCTAAAAAAATTATTTTTTTAATGGGTTATAGATTTGGAAGTCAGTGGTTTTGTGAAATTTGCTCATTTTGGAGTGGTGGTGGTGATGGAAACTTATGTGGAGTTTTGTTATTATGGGTACCGATTGCAGAGAATTTAAATAAAATAAACAAAACAATGTTTGAGACCCCATTAATCTCCCACAATTTAACTTGCAATCATTTAATCTCTCACAATTAATCTCCCACAATAAAAAAAAAAAAATAGAGTATCAAACAATGGAAGACTTAGAATACAAAGTATGAAAATAGTCCCTACATGTTAAGTGCTAATGATGTGTTTTTGTTGATCCTTAAAATATCTTTATGATGGGAATAAAATTAAAATTGTTGTTGTTGATGTGTTTATAGACTCGTAATAAATGTTTTTTGAATTTGAAATATTTCACCGCTAACTATAAGAATAAAAGTCTTTCTATATTATTTTGTTTTCATTTTCTGCCCTTTTTCCATTATCCCTAGTCGTGGGTCTCTCTGGTTTAGTTGCAAAGATGGAATGAAACAAAAAATCGAAGGAAAATATATTTGGTAAGGATGCTTCATTGCATTGTTTGGTAACGTCTTGTATTTGAAATCCTTTTCCATACTTCATTTTATAGGTTCATCTTTTAACAGGACAATTACCCAACTTACAGGAATGGTTTGCTTTTCTTTTATATACTCTTCTTATTTGCTTGATTTGGATCTTCTAACATGTTTTGTAATTATGTAGTTCATGGAAACTGAGTTGATGTCAAAGAGATCACACCGCAGAGAAGTTTAAATTTTAGGCTGAGGTGTCTTGGCTTATGGACATCATTATCAGCTTACTTTATAGCAAAAAAGACACCTTCTTTAGGGAGTTAATCTCCAATGCTTCTAATGTAAGTATATTTTTCCTTGGAAATTTCCTTAACAATGTTACGTTTATATCTATATTATGTTAGTCATGAATCAGGTTGGTTTCATCTTTTGCTATTGGCCGAGTGATATCAATCCAAGTTGAACTTGGAGCAAATTATAATTGTCATGGGGGAAAACTAAATTTTTCCCAACAAAAAAAATAAAAATTAGGTCTATTGTGTAAATTACATACCTTATATTATGTTGTATTATTATGTGATACCTGGAATTTTATTTTCGTTCATTAGTTGTTGATCACATTAATTGTTCAATCTGTGAAGTCCTAGGCAATTTTCATTGAAGTAGTAGTTTATGTCAATGAAGTTTGTGCAATTCACCCACTGTTGATCAATTTGTCAATGAAGTTTTGTCCCATGTTTCTACATTAATTGTTAAATCTTTGAGTTCTGCATTATAATTGATCATTGTTTTGTAACTTCCATTAATTGTAAAGATTGCCACTTCATTGTGCTTTCTAGCCCTTTCTTTTCCTGATAACCAAACAACCCTTAAATATAGTAATGGGCAGCTTCTTTGTACGAAAAATGACTTGTGAGAACTGATGGTACGTAAATAAGACACGTAGAATGGGAGTTAAAATCGAAAATACGTTTAACTTAGTTGAAAAAGGGGGTTTGGGTGGCGAAAATGAAAAATAGGGCCCCAACCATTGTTGGGATGTAACATGCAACTTCTTCATGCCAAAAATGACTTCTGACAACTGATGGTACGTAAATAGGACACGCATTACAACTGCTAGAGGCAATTAATGTAGAAACATGGGACAGAACTGCTATAGGCAACTCTTAAATCATCAATCAATCATCTTATTTACACATCATGATATGACACTTTATTAAAATATCTAAATTAATTTTTTTCTCTTATTTATTCTCAAATCATCAATCAATCATCTTATTTACACAACACTGGACATAAAAAGTAGATTTGTATATCATTTTTCTCAGACATTCTTGAAACATCAAATGATAGATGGACACATTTGTTTTAGTAAAAATTTTAGTAAATGTAGGTATTGCTCTCATATTTTTGCTGTGTAAATGCCAATTCTTGATTCACCTCATAACCAACACTACAATAAATTAAGGTTTCAGAGGAGGAAAAAATGCAAATCAGCCACTAAACCACCGTACGAACGTCACAACCAGTTTCCTCACGTCAAATACGACCTGCGACAATAGGCGAAATGTCGTTAGCACATGTAGGTTGGGAGTAAGAGCCGAAAACGGCTTAAACTTAACCAAAAAAGGGCGTTAAGGGGGTGAAAATGTAAAATAGCCTTGAACCACCGTACAAACGTCACAACCAGCTTCCTCATGTCAAATAGGACCTGTGACAACCGACGGAATGTCATTAGCACGTGTAGGTTGGGAGTTAGAGCCGAAAACGGCTTAAACATAACCGAAAAGGGGCGTTAAGGGGGCGAAAATGCAAAACAGCCCCCAAACCATCGTACGAACGTCACAACCAATTTTCTCATGTCAAATGGGACCTGTCACAACAGACGGAACGTCATTAGCACGTGTAGGTTGGGAGTTAGAGTCAAAAATGACTTAAGCTTAACTGAAAAAGGGCGTTAAGGGGGCCAAAATGCAAAACAGCCCTCGAATCACCATACGGACGTCACAACTAATTTTCTCATGTCAAATAGGACCTGTGACAACAGACGAAATGTCATTATCACGTGTAGGTTGGGAGTTAGAATTGGAAACGACTTAAACTTAACTGAAAAAGGGCGTTAAGGGGGCGAAAATGAAAAATAGCCCCGAACCACCGTACGAACGTCACAACCAGTTTCCTCACGTCAAATAGGACCTGTGACAACCAACAGAATGTCATTAGCACGTGTAGGTTGGGAGTTAGAGCCGAAAATGACTTAAAGTTAACCGACAATGGGCGTTAAGGGGGCGAAAATGCAAAACAGTCCCCGGACCACTGTATGAACATTACAACTAGCTTCCTCACGTCAAATAGGACCTGTGACAATAGACGAAATGTCATTATCACGTGTAGGTTGGGAGTTAGAATTGGAAACAACTTAAACTTAACCGAAAAAGGGCATTAACGGGACGAAAATACAAAATAGCTTTGAACCACCATACGAACGTCAAAACCGGCTTCCTCACGTCAAATAGGACTTGTGACAACCGACGGAATGTCATTAGCACGTGTAGGTTGGGAGTTAGAGCTGAAAACGGCTTAAACTTAACTGAAAAGGGGCGTTAAGGGGGCGAAAATTCAAAACAGACCTCAAACAACCTTGTGGCTCATACGGATTGCTTCTCCATGACAAGTAGGAGTTGTGAGAACTGACGGAATGTAATTCGGACCCGTAGGTTGGGAGTTAGAGCCGAATACGCCCTAAACTTAGTCGAAAAATGGCGTTTCAGGGGCGAAAATTCCAAACAGCCCCCGAACCACTATGTGGCTCACACGGATAGCTTTGCCATGACAAATAGGACTTGTGAGAACTAACAGAACATAATTCAGACCCGTAGGTTGGGAGTTAGAGCTGAATACGCCATAAACTTAGCCAAAAAAGGACATTTTGGGGGCGAAAATTCAAAACAGCCCTTGAACCACCATGTGGATCACACGGATAGCTTTGCCATGACAAATAGGACTTGTGAGAACTGACGGAACGTAATTCGGACCCGTAGGTTGGGAGTTAAAGCCGAATATGCCCTAAACTTAGTTAAAAAAGTGCGTTGCGGGGGTGAAAATTGAAAATAACCCCCGAACCGCCGTGTGGCCAACACGAACAGCTTCCCCATGCCAAATATGACTTGTGACAACTGATGGAATGTTATTCAGATCCGTAGGTTAGGATTTAGAGACGAATACGCCCAAAACATAGTCGAAAAAGGGCGTTTTAAGGGCGAAAATTCAAAACAGCCCTTGAACCGACATATGGCCGACACGTACAGCTTCCCCATCCCAAATATGACTTGTGATAACTGATGGAATGTTATTCGGACCCGTAGGTTGGGATTTAGAGCCAAATACGCCCAAAACTTAGTCGAAAAAGGGCATTTCGGGGGCGAAAATTCAAAACAGCCCCCGAACCGCCATGTGGCCAACACGAACACCTTCCCTATGCCAAATAGGACTTGTGAAAAATGACGGAATGTTATTCGGACCTGTAGGTTGGGATTTAGAGACGAATACGCCCAAAACTTAGTCGAAAAAGGGCGTTTCGGGGGCAAAAATTCAAAACAGCCCTTAATCTACCGTGTGGCCGACACGAACAGTTTTCCCATGCCAAATATGACTTGTGAGAACTGACAAAATGTTATTCGGACCCGTAGGTTGAGATTTAGAGCCGAATACGCCCAAAACTTAGTCGAAAAAGGGCGTTTCGGGGGCGAAACTTCCAAATAGCCCCCGAACCTCCGTCTAACTCTCACGGGTAGTTTCCCTATTACGAATAGGACTTGTGACAACTGGCGGAATGTATTGTAGATGTATAGTAATGGAAAGTTATGGGAAAAATATTCAGAAACTAATATGAACTCAGTTTACACCTTGTTATAAACTTGCTAATTTTTTGAACGTTCACACGTGTGTTATATTATGTTTAAGCTGTCATACAAGCATGAAACATGCTCATGGTGTTTCTGAGGCCATGTGCGTCATGAGATATCAAGTATTCTTTCTTTGATGAACCATTTATAGGTGTCTCAACATACATTTCTACATATTTAATTTTATGATTGAAATTTATTTTTGTTAATAATGTTATCACATGTTGAAATGTCCATTCTGAAATGGCACTGACATACATTAATAAGCAGCGATGGTTTTATATCCAATCTAATGATTCATGTGCCTTTTGCAAACAAATAATGAGGAAGTTGGTAAAAAGAATATTTTCTATTCACATTGGGCTTTGATATTGGTTTAGCCACAGAATTTGGATACAAGTTGCATACAAATAGAAGATTGTTACATTAGCTTTATGTTACTAATGAACGATTTACTAATGATTGTTCTGCATTTAACAATGTTCCTTATAACAAAGGACTTTAGAAAGACTGTACAACGACTGATAATTGATTCATCATGGAAGGTTGCTTCTCACTTATTTTTATTTGTCACTTGTTGCCAAATTCATTCATGAAGTTGGGCATTTTTAGGTCCAATTCTAAAGTTTTTTTTTTATATAGATGACTTTGTTGCGTGGACTTCCAGAGATATTTTGGTGTATGAAGAAGAAATTGTACTTTTGTATAGAAGTAATATAATACTTTTGTCGTCTCTGGCTTTTGTGCAGTTAACTATTATTGATACAGATAACTTTTGACAGCGAACAGATAATTACTTTTGGACTCTTTGGTGATTTATTGGTCTTGCATTTCACTTTGTGAGACTAGATTCAAAACCGTGACATTGAGTCCGAACTGTAATAGTAAGCTCAGAACAAGACGAGATTCGCGCCCACCTCGCAAGCGCGGATATCGGGAAGTTCCCGGGAGCGCGTCTACAAAAGGTTTTGGATTTTTTCTCATTCTGAAACAAATCCCACATTACAAAAAATAACTTAACACTTCAATGTAACATACTAAAAAATTCTTTGGTGTACTTTTTCCAAACGTAACAACGTAACACTTCAAAAAAACTCCTTAATGTATTTTTTTTTCAAATGTAATACTCTAATTAATGTAATCACAATCGTAACATTCCAATATAACACACAAAAATACTAAAAAACTCTTTAGTGCACTTTTTGTTCCAAATGTAACACTCACAGTTTGAAATTACAAGAATTTTTGTACTCATTTTGGAATGGTTTGAAGAATCTCACATCATTTTTTTAGAGTGTTACGTTTAGAAAAAATATACTACGGAGTTTTTTTGTGTATTACATTAGAGTGTTACACCATAGAGTTTTTTTGGAGTGTTATATTAGAATGTTATGTTTGGAAATAGTACACTAAGGATATTTTTTGGAGTGTTACATTGGAGTATTACGTTTGAGTATTACATTGGAGTGTTACCTTACTAATGAGTTTTTGTACTCATTTTGAAATGTTTAAAAAATCTCATATTTCAAGTAATTTTTGTACTCCTTTTGAAATATTTTTCAAATAAAAAAGATTTCCATATAAAAATTCATCACTAATTTAATTCTCATAGATTGTGTACCTTACCTCTTTAGCACACAAAAAAAAAAAAAAAAAAAAAAAAAGAAGAAGAAGAAGAAGAAGAAGAAGAAGAAAGAAAAGAGAGAGAAGGAAACATAATAGAAATAAGGGTATAATCGTAAATCCAATTTTCAAATAATATATTAAATTTACCTTTTCAAAATTAATAGAACTAATTGGTTTATAAGAAAATCTTTGGAACTAAATGGACTACCATTACTCAAAATGAGATTTATAGATAAGTTTCCTTAAAATTATACATACTATTAGTATTGCAACATTTAAATACGTTATCATACCGAATACAATGTTACCTTAAAAGTTGTCGTACAATTAATTTTTTTGAATTATCTTTTTATCAAATTTAAGTGACAACTTCCATCCAAATTATATGCAAATGTCGTGAATCAAAATGTAAATATACATAGATAAATTTACGTTAAAAGATTACATTAATGAGGTAAGTATAATTGAGAAAATACCTGATTTCAAATTTTCAAGTTGCAACCATATCTATCTCCTCTTAGTAATTCTCCCAAAGCTCGTTTAATTTAATTCTTTCAAGTATTTCTCAATTAGTAATTTCATAGATATGTATGGTAAGTGTTAGCAGGTATTTTAATATTATAATGTGTTATAGGTTGTTTTTCTTTTCTTTCTCTCCAAGTCTCTTCGAGTCTTCGTCAAGTCCACCAATTCTTATCCTCTCCAAGACTTCCAAGGTAAGTTTCCAAAGTCTTGGTCTTGGTCCACCAAGACTTATCCTTTTCAAGTCCACCATGCTTATCCACCCAAGTCCTCATCCGTTTCATATCCACCAAGGCACCTCCAAGCCTTATCTCCTATATATTTGAGCTAATATCTTATCTTGGTGCAAGGGTGAAGAAGTTTTGGTTGTGTTGTTATGTCTTGAGTGAGATTATCAGGCAAATAAAAAGGGTGTGCATGATAAAGCTTTGGGTTCAACCAATTGTGCAGTATTGGTCAATCATACGACTTAGTCGGGCTGTTGTATCCTGGGGGGGACAAGTCACGGTTTTTTCTGCTGCACCGGTGTGAGGCTTTGCCTAATCGCAGAGGGCTTGAATCTCCTTAAAAAGAGCGAATTTCCCGCGCCTCAGCCCTTACAATAGTTTTTGTAATTTCTATTATTCTTATTTTTTAGTGTTTTATTTGTAATTATCACCAACAATTTTAAGGAGATTCAAATAGCAAAAGTTCATGGAGCCAGTACTAGAGAAGCCCAACGAGAATACCGGCAATCTCAACAAGCCCTTCCGGTTCAAGAGAGCTCATTTCAAGAGATGGAAAGGCAAGGTGCTTTTCTACCTCAGTCTCCCCAAGGTGGCGTATATCCTGACCGAGAAAAATCCGAACAAAGTCCCCACTGAAGAGATGACCGACGAGGAGTATGCTACTCATCTTGAAAAAATCGAGAAATACAACACAGATGAGTATAAATGTCGATACTATCTTTTGAATTGTCTTTTAGATCAATTTTATGATTATTATGATACTACTTACACCACTGCCAAGAAAATTTGGAAAGCCTTGCCGAACAAATATGACACTGAAGAGGCAGGCGCTAAAAAATATGCTACAAGCCGTTTTTTCCGCTATCAGATGATAGATGGGAAATCAGTGGTGGAGCAAGTTCAAGATTTTCAGATGTTAGTAGCTAAAGTTAGATCTGAAGGCATCAAAATTGGAGACAATCTTGTTGTAGTAGGTATTGTTGACAAACTTCCATCATCTTGGACGGTGTTCCAGAAGTCGATGCGTCACAAGCAAAAAGAAACGTCCTTGGAGACTCTAATCACACGGATTCGGGTGGAGGAGGAAGCACAAGGACAAGATGCGCTTATGACACAAGAGCATTCCACTGCAAAGGTAAATTTAACTTCTGGAAATACTTTACCTAAAGGTCGATTTCATAAAAATAGCCATTTGAAGCCAGTTAAGAAAATTTGGAAAAATACTGGAAGGCCACTGTAGACGTCCCCGAACGCCCGGGAGGGTGAGTCCCGTTCTGTTCTTTTGTGGGGTCACTACAGCTTGGACTCTCAAATTGTCACGGTTCTTAGTCTGAACCAAAGAGTCCAACCAATTCCGGCAAATCGTGTTTGAAAATACAGAATTGCTTATTTATCGTGAAAAGAAGTGCCAAAGACATGGACTGCTTTGCCAATACTAGTGGAGTCGGCGACCAAATCATTTTATTTAGTGGGGGAAGTTAGGAAACCCTGACTCGGTGCGCGAAGGCCACATGT